ATTGACTTCAAAATAGGTTCCTCTTGTACATTTCTCCATGACCATCTAAATATTCATAATTGATCCTTCTCACGACTGTGCCTTTTTTATCTCTACTTTTACTGCAACTTCTGCCATTGTTCTCTTAGAAGTACTTTGATGTTCATTAGAGGCTATCACTTGCATCATTACATATCTATTGTGTTCAGAACAGGGTTAAAATTACAGAGGCGCATGTGCCCAGTTTAAAGATTACTATGTTCCAATATAAATCTCTACAATCCATCTGTCTTCTTGGATCTCATTTAGATGTAGTCTGAATATTCCATTTACCAGCATTAGAATACAATTACAATCTTCAGCTGCTGTTCACTTGTTGAGGATGCAGGAGTTGGAAATTAGGCTGATGAAAACACAAAGGCAGTGGAGAAAGATATAATATTCCCTGGAGCCATTGTGTCATTACTGTAGAAAATACCCATTGATGTGGTATAGTAGGAGTGAATGACAAGGAAGCAGATATGCTGTGGAAACTATGAACCATATCTAGTGTTAGTCCTATATGGCGTCAATGGAACTTCATGTTCCTTGGGGTAGGGAAAATATTGGCTTTGGTCCCATGCTGAAAAAGTAATGAAGCCTTGGCAGCAGAGCCAGGAAAGACTTCTGCATGAGAACTCATGTCAGGAATGACCTTAGACCCAATGAGGAGTCAGGATGAGGTGAAAATGTCACTTTGCTTTTTTAATTTTGTTTTCAGAATTAACCATTTTTCTCATAATTTGGAAAGAAAGAATACAAGGTTATGCAATATATACATGCAACAGAAAATAAAAGTCAAGAGATTTATTTCCTCTCTCCATTGAGAAGTATCTTTTAAAGTATCTCATAGAATCATAGAGTTGGAAGAGACCATCCCATTTATTCATCCATCCAGTCCAACCCCTTACTATGCAGGAATACACAAAACACTCCCAAAAAATGATTATCCAGCATCTGTTTCAAAACCTTCAAAGAAGGATATTCCACCACAACCAAAGGCAGTGTGTTCCAGTATCAAATGCTTCTGACTGTTAGGAAGGTCTTCCTAATGTTTTGGTGGAAGCTCTTTTCCTGTGGTTTGAATCCAGTGTTTCACGTCTTAGTGTGGATCTACAGTGACTTACTATCCCAGAGCTGATCTGGTGTTATGTACATCAGGTTGATCCCTGAGATTAATCAGACAGCCCCCCACATCCCCCATCGACTACAGAGCTGGGAGATAGTTCCTATTGCACAGTACATTGAACACAGCACCATTGGATGGCCACCCTTACCATCCTCTCCCAAACTCTGTGTTGAAGTGCAATGTGACTTCTACTGCTTGGCTGTTATCTGCAGTGACATTGGCTAGGAGGGGTGAGATGAAGGAGGGGGGAGGGAGCCACCCCACTAATGTCGCTGCAAATGATGTCACACCAACAGGAGCATATTGTGTCTCGAGATCACAGCAATATGAAGGATGGGAGGGGACGGTAAGTGCCATCCCGTGTCCTTTGGCTGCCTGAACCTGAGAACATGGGATGACTGTTTATAAGGGCCAAAATTCAGACTATCCCCTGATGTCAGCTTGTTCCAAAGAGAATATAGCATTTTTTATTTTGTGAAGTTAAAATACTCTGCTTGTTGAAAAGTATACTCTGTTGAATTACAGCCCTAGACATATATAACTTTGAACTGAAGCACAAGCAAAGAATTGTAAGCCCAAACTATCTGTTTGTTCACTGCTGCCCACTGCATACAGCATTTCACAAGTATGAAATTCAGTGTCACATTGCATGTCCATTATACACCTGCTGACTAGGATCTTGCCTTTAGTGAATGTCCTACGTGAATGTGTTTAGGTATTGTAAGGCCATGAGCAACATTTAGTTTCATTGCAAGCAGGAATGTATTAAGATAGAATCAGAATTCTAAAATGTAAAAAGGTTCTTTATAAACAAAATACTTGAGTCACTACTTGAGTATTCCATGCCACCAATTATTTCCTCTTTCCTCCAAGTAACCATTCTTAAATGTGTTCCCTATTGTTACTGTGCTGAATGCAGGAAGCTGAAAGACAGGGAAGTCCCTTTTTCATGTGTGACTGCAATGTGATAATTAAAATCCAACTTTCATACAGGAGCACTGCTTTGAAACCTGGTCTAATATGGGATGGGAACACTGAGATTGCACACAGTGAGGAGACAGGATGTTCTTGGCTCCTCTGCTATTATAAGGCAAAATCACATGCACTTGCGAAAAGTTAATACCTAATTTGTGTAGACACCTACTGACAGATTGTTTTCATTTTCCTTCTCATTGTGAACAGTGGGAATTTGTTTGCTTATTTATTGATACAAGATCCCTGTTGAATGCATTGTTATTGTGCAGCTACTTTGGCACAATGGAATTCCACATAGCAGCTGATGATGATCTAAATGTACACGGCAGCACACTATTTATTACGCAGAAACTGAGAGGCACTTATGCCTCTGCCTTCAGGATGATAGGCCTGTCAATATAAGAAGATTGAATTATTGCTGTATTATTAAAAGCAGATGAGTCTGTTAATAATGCAGGCAACCCACATATCTGACTCAAATCCACTGAAGAGAACTAAAATCTTTCACTGCCTGGAAGAATGTTCTCTGTCATCTTTTGCTCATAAAAGTCCTTGCAGGTAATAAATCAAATATCCATAAGCCATAGCCAATCTAGACAGTTTGGGTCTCTATCACTCTCTATCACTAGAGAATGGCCAGTTCTAAAGCCCACTGTAATTTACAAGATGTTTTTATATATTAAGCCAACAACCTGCAGCTGTCCCTTCCATTAGACATAAATGACATATAATGGGAGCACACAGGTAGCTATTTCATTTTATATTGTTGCATATATCAAGATCCCCATATCCACAATTTCACTTACATATGCCTGAGGGGATAATTGTCTCTCTACAAATTTTTCAGGTGCTTCCACACTGCCCAAGATGGCAGTTTGTTCCACGTTTTGCTGCCATGTGTAGGGTATGCAGGCATTTTTTTAACCCAAGTGTAAACTGCAGCCCCATCCATACAGTACCTTAATCACAAGAGCACCCATTTTAAAATGGGGGGTGGCTAGACAACATCACTGGAGAACTCACGATGATTTGCTACAAAGGAGGGATGCCATCAAATAAAAAGATCCCCTTTTATCCCGTTTCTGGCTGAAAGATCCAAATCTTCCCATGTGTGATCTGACATGCCAGAAACATGGGTTTTCCTTCCCTCCCCCCTGTGGAGACTGGTCCACCTGATGTCTGTCCCTTTTAAAAAGCATGAACCATCTGATCAGTTGATTCGGCTGTTAAACGACATACAGCTGATTGAAAGGAAGCACAAATGGAGAGCCATTAGAACTCCCTGAAACTCTTTAATTAACACTGTAAACACTGTAACACTGTAAACAGAGCTTTAATAAATAAATAAATAGTGGAAGGAAGAAATCTGGCTGAAGTTTTTTTTAAAAAAACCCTCCATTATCCACTGATCTGCATATGAGCACATGCAAATATGGTTGTATTCATTCTATTAGGATATGCACATATATGGATCGGTGCATAATCATATCCTTAAAAAAAAACTTCCAATGATGCCCTCCGTTTGTCCTCCATCTTATCCCAAGTCACAGAAAGGAGGCCAGTGAGGACAGTGGTGGAAGAAATCCCGGAATCGACTTAGAAATCCCATTATTTGGCACTGTCTGGAAGCACCCTGCATTAAACAGTTTACACTGGATTATTCTGTATTAGCCTGGGTGCATCATTTGAATGCCCCAGGTTAATGTGCCATCTATACTACATTTTCTGGCAGTGTAGATGGCATACCTCCCTCAGATATTACCGTAATTGCATTGAAGGACCTAGCAATTCCAAGAGAGGATATCTCTCTTGGAATCTTTAGATTCTCTTACACAACTCTACAATACTATGATATGCTGTGACCAGAAATGAGGTAACGCAATATTTGGGCTTTTGATCTTACTGTATTTACTGACAAAAAGGGGCAAGAGATACTTGTGTCACATATGAGAATGACGCGACCTGGTTTGGAAACCATGAAACTTTATTTGAAGAGTTAAGATTCATGGGTCATTATAATCACTGGAGAATTAAACAAAACAAAAAAGGTTAGAATGATCTGCCTTTACTGGGGGGAGGGGGGGGCTGCCTTTCTAACATGGATATAGTTGTCTGCCAACCCACGAAGAAACACACGAGAATAAAAGACACAACACCAATGCGTTGGATTCAAATTGGGCAACTTTTATTTAACGTTACCTATTTAAGTTCTTAACTTAACTCAAGGGTGTAAGGAACTGGTGTCACCTAACCCAGGTAGTATCACTACCCGATAATAACAATTTCCGGGCGAAGCACCTGGGTTTCGGTAATCAAACCGTATCACCATCAAGGGAAAGGAATGAGGAGTCTCTTCCAGAGCTCTTGTATCGAGACTCCTTCCCATTAAAGGCCATTAACAACACCTCACCCCTTTAAACTGTAGGTGAGTGTTTAACTTAAGGGCCTTTCACCCCTTAAGGGGTGCCCTAGGTGCACACCGACTAAAGGAATTTCCCTATCTATTTACGCCTGGCCTAGTTAAAGCGTAGCCCACTTCCTCTATCTAGCCCCTAAACAGTATAGGGTAGGCAAAAAACCCCCCCTATAAAAACAAGAAGAGGAAAAAATTCCTACCCGGTTCCGCAGGCAACCGCACGATATACTGTTAATGGGCGGGAGTGGTGGGCCAACTTCCAGGCGCGGAATGAGCCTGGGAGGGCCTGGCCTGTGCTATCAGGCCACGCCCCCGGATGTTCTGGAGGGTTCCTCCAGAACTCCTCCCTGCCTCGTGTGAGGCAGACAAATGTTTTTTCTCTCCCCATTTCTTGGGGAGAGGAAAACTGTTGTCTGCCAACCCACGAAGTAACACAGGAGAATAAAAGACACAACACCAATGTTTTGGATTCAAATTGGGCAACTTTTATTTAACGTTACCTATTTAAGTTCTTAACTTAACTCAAGGGTGTAAGGAACTGGTGTCACCTAACCCAGGTAGTATCACTACCCGATAATAACAATTTCCGGGCGAAGCACCTGGGTTTCGGTAATCAAACCGTATCACCATCAAGGGAAAGGAATGAGGAGTCTCTTCCAGAGCTCTTGTATCGAGACTCCTTCCCATTAAAGGCCATTAACAACACCTCACCCCTTTAAACTGTAGGTGAGTGTTTAACTTAAGGGCCTTTCACCCCTTAAGGGGTGCCCTAGGTGCACACCGACTAAAGGAATTTCCCTATCTATTTACGCCACGGATTGGGGGCAAATGTCCATTTCGCCCCCATCCCCCACCAATTCCTCTAACACCCCTAAAATACCTTCCTGCAACTCTAACCGAAATCGTTGGTTGCCCAATTCCGAAAGACGTACTCCAAAACCCCGATACAACCTCTCGTCGTCACGAGTGATGTTTGGGTGCTCAATGTAACGACCCCTCTGATGGATCCGAACAATCACATGGCCCGAGTCACTCGTATTCTGGCTTTCTCAAGCCTTCCCATGTCGCCTCTGCACTTGCGACGAGGTATGATAGCGGACAAACGACTTGCACCCTGGGCCATGACCAACGAATCCTTCGAATGTCCGCCCGTGGATCAGAACAATCACATGGCCCGAGTCACTCGTTTTGTGGCTTTCTGAAGCCTTCCCACGTCGCCTCTGTACTTGCGACGAGGTATGATAGCAGACCAAACGACGTGCACCCTGGGCCATGACCAACAAATCCTTAGAATGTCCGCCCGTGGCTCAGAACAATCACATGGCCCGAGTCACTCGTTTTGTGGCTTTCTGAAGCCTTCCCACGTCGCCTCTGTACTTGCGACGAGGTATGATAGCAGACCAAACGACGTGCACCCTGGGCCATGACCAACAGTGGATAACCAACACATCAGGAGAAACACCCACTCCTGGTAACAAACAACAAAGGGAACACAAACCGTCCCAATGCAATGCAGTCAACGCCGCTGCATGATATAACACCTGCTCATAAACTGATGTGTGCTAAAGCCGCCAGCCAGTAATTTGCTGCAGCTCTGTAAGGCTAACTTTCCAGCCAGCAACTAAGCGGACCCGCCTTGATTGGGCTGGGGCCCTTTTGGAACAGTGACCTGTCCAGGGTTCCTTCTATTGAACTGGGCACCTCTTGGCCCACTTCTTGTGGGTTTTCCCTTGTAACAACTATTGGTTGTGTGGTTACCCTGGCATATTGCACAGGCGTGCTGATATTTACAGTCCTCGCGGGCACAAGCTCCCTGGGCCGCGTATTCCCAGCACATAGCCTTTTGCCTTTGCGGCTGTTGTGCTGGGCCTCCCTGCCTAAAGGGCTGACTCTCTTTAGTGTTCTGTATAGTATGGCCGCTATCGGCCTTCTCACCAGAAACTGCTCTGGTTGTATTCATTACCTCCATCCACAATTGACTGTCGATGAGGTCCCATCGCTTGTTAGGCATCGTGGCAGCCTCAGAACGAAAGCGGCTATCGTAAACAAGCCACGCCTGACCAGTGTAGTTGACATATGCCCCATATATTATATTTTGATATTTAAACAAGGCCTTGGCCCTGTAAGGATGAGCTTCCACTAGCAGGGATGCATATATGGTATAACAAGCTATCCAATTTTTCCAATTCCGCTCAACCCGCCTTTTCTTTAGCTTCTCTTTACGTTCTTCGTCCAAATCCTCTTTTTCCTTTTTATCTAACTCCCTAAAGTATAATGAAAACATATCTATATACTCATTCCTGAGTATCTTGTCTATGGTTTTCTGTGACAAATGAGCCCCCAAAGAGGCTGAGGCTGCCGTAGGTACTATCGGCAAAACCCATTTATCGGTTCCCCAATACTGGTTGTCATCCCCCGTCCTAGCCATTTCTAAGGTTATGGGGGCAACCGTAGGGACTTGAGGGCCAGCCTTTGCGACCGAAGCTCCTGTTGCCACCAGGGCCGGACTTAGGAGAGTAGGTGTTGTGTTTTGCGCATGGCACAGGCCCCAAGGCCAGACCAGTGTGGTGTTATTACCTGCGGATGTCGAAGGCCCGTCCACGACGATGGCTTGTGTAGTAGGCTGACCAGGTGCCGCCCGCTCTGGCACAGCCGGTGACGCCGAAGGAGATGTCATGACCGGATCAGCCGGTGTGGTGGCCGATGGAGATGCTTTCTTCGCAGGCTGTACCTCCGCGCTAACTGGTTGAGACCAGGATACAGCCGGGGCCGCGCTGGTCAGCGTTGTTGTTGCTGGGTTGTCAGCCGACACTTGACCCACGACCGTTTGCGGTGTCGGGGCCGGAGGATCTTGTTCCCTCTGATTGGGCTCCGGTTGGCTGTTGTGATCAACTTCTTGTGTCGCAGCTGCTCGGGCGGCCTCTAGAACAGACATGCGGGAGAGCAGATTTTTAAAAATTATCTTCCTGCTAGCCTGCCGCGCAGGGCGCGGCCCAGCCTCCCTCATTGAAAGCCCCCTCTCCCTCTCAAATTTGTCCATCCTAGCCATAAGAGCATTCAATTCTTCGGCTGAAACGTCCTCCTCCTCCGATGATGATTCCCTAGGAGGGAGGGGACGCTTCGCCGGAGTCTTCTTGGCAGGTCCCTTTCCTTTAGGGCCGCCCACATTCTTCCTCGGCGTCATCCTGAAAGAAAAATTACCCGTGACTGTGTCAATAAGTATAAAGCGCCAGTAAAACAAGTTGACAATGACTTTATCACTATGTATATATATATATATATAGGGCAATGCAAAAATGCTTAAATCTATGCCTCACCGACTGTTGTATAGTTATAACTTAAGTGACCTAAGGCTCACCTTAAGTTCCCCATGGAATAAACCACTGTTCAAGCAACTAATATGCTATTTACCAGCGTCCGCTTTGCCTAAAGGCGGAGCTCTCTAGTGCCCTCGTAAGGGAAGCCCAGGCTAGGCCGGGGCATATTGATCAACTCACATTTGCATTAAGTCTCACTGTGAGGCTATCGCAAGCTGGAGCTAACATCAGGAGCTCACCCCGCACCCAAGTAATCAGAGCCTATCGTTGGGCCTATTGATCTGTTCACATTTGCATTAAGTCTCACTGTGCGGCTATCGCAAGCTGGATCAAACATCAGGAGCTCACTGTGAGGCTATCACAAGTTGGGGCTGACATCAGAGCTCGCCCGCACCCAAGTAAACAGAGCCTACCGTTGGGGCCTATGGATCTACTCACAATTGCATTTATTGTTGCTTAAGTGTTGATTTTTATTTTATATACATATGCATTGAGTCTCACTGTGATGCTATCGCAAGTTGGGGCTGACATCAGGAGCTCTCCCGCACCCAAGCAGCCAGAGCCTACCGTTGGGGCCTATTGATCTACTCACATTTGCATTTATTGATGTTTGAGTGTTGGTTTTCATTCTATATACCTATGTATTGAGTCTCACTGTGAGGCTATCACAAGTTGGGGCTGACATCAGGAGCTCTCCTGCACTCAAGTAGACCGAGCCTACCGTTGGGCCTATTGATCTAATCACATTTGCATTTATTACTACTTAAGTGTTGATTTTTATTTTATATACATATGTCTTGAGTCCCACTGTGAGGCTATCACAAGTTGGAGCTGACATCAGGAGCTCTCCCGCACCCAAGCAGCCAGAGCCTACCGTCGGGGCCTATTGATCTACTCACATTTGCATTTATTACTACTTAAGTGTTGATTTTTATTTTATATACCTATGTATTGAGTCTCACTGTGAGGCTATCACAAGTTGGGGCTGACATCAGGAGCTCTCCCGCACTCAAGTAGACCGAGCCTACCGTTGAGTCTATTGATCTAACCACATTTGCATTTATTAGTACTTAAGTGTTGATTTTTATTTTATATACCTATGCCTTGAGTCTCGCTGTGAGGCTATCACAAGTTGGAGCTGACATCAGGAGCTCTCCCGCACCCAAGTAGCCAGAGCCTACCGTTGGGGCCTATTGATCTACTCACATTTGCATTTATTGCTGCTTTAAGTGTTGGTTTTTATTTTTTATATACATATATATACACATACACATAGATATCCATATACATGGATACATACCTACAAACATATACATATATATATATATATACACTAGCTGTGCCCTGCCACGCGTTGCTGTGGCCTATAGTAAAACTTATCAAAGTTGAGGTAGATATCTGGACTATTATGATTTTGTTGTTGTTTTTTGTTTGTATTTTGGTATCAGAAGCTGGATCAAACAGCAGGAGCTCCCCCTCTGATCCTATTTAAAATAATATTATTTGGGGTGTATCAGGAGCTGGATCTAGCAGCAGGAGCTCTCTCCCTGCTCCTTTTTTTTTTTTTTTTTTTTGCTATCAGAAGCTGGATCAAACAGCAGGAGCTCCCCCTCTGATCCTATTTAAAATAATATATATATATATATATATATATATATATATATATATATATGTTGGTATCAGAAGCTGGATCTAACAGCAGGAGCTCTCTCCCTGATCTTTTTTTTTTTTTTTTTTTTTTTGTGGGAGCTGTGGCTAACATCGGGAGCTCGCTCCGCTCCCGAATAAGAACTATCGACCTTAGGTCACCAACCTCTGTAGCCAAGGGTATAACTCCCCTATTACCTGTGTAACGTTGTATATTTAACATCATACCTACTACATATAACACGCATCCGGCCCAAAATAAAGTAATTGAAATACCTTTCACTTTCATTTTGCCCCATGTGGCAAACGAAATTGGGCCTATCCTAAAATGGCAGCCGCCTTATCTCCCACAATGGCCTCCATCAACGGCCCGGACGGCGACCAAAATTGACGCTGCGGGCCCCGGCAGTGACGGATGCCAATTCAACACGAACCCTATTGCCAGAACCCTCAGGTAGCTCGAGGCCGGGCCCAATCCTAGGCCACGGTGACCATGCGCCAGGGAATGTCGATGGCCGGCTAGCCGCCTGCCAAGCCGCCCAGCTCCAGGCCCCCGGCCACATGTGCCCTTGTTTGCCATAACCAAGGCCTCTGTGAAGGGCCCTGAAGCACCCAGCCTTCGACCGGGAGGGGGGTGGGTGGGTGAAGCCTCCCTCCCCCAGGACCCCTGTACAGACCTGTAGATGCTCTTCTTATCCCCTTAACCTCTTTTCTTCTCTTCTTTGCTGAACCTCTTCAGACTTCTTGTCTTCGCTCTTCTCTGCAACCTCTCTCCCCAACTTCCAGGCGCGGAATGAGCCTGGGAGGGCCTGGCCTGTGCTATCAGGCCACGCCCCCGGATGTTCTGGAGGGTTCCTCCAGAACTCCTCCCTGCCTCGTGTGAGGCAGACAAATGTTTTTTCTCTCCCCATTTCTTGGGGAGAGGAAAACTGTTCCAATACAGGAAAAAACAAGACCAAAGGATTCTTAATCTATAAAGTTTACATCTTGATGCCACATTTGTTTAATGCAGAGAACAGTATCAAATGTAACTGGCCTCATCCACACTGCCATATAATGCAGTTTGAAACTGGTCAGTGTAGACTCATATACTGCAATTTCAAACTGCATTATATAGCAGTGTAGACTGGGTCTTAGACAAGTAATAACCAAAGTTGGTTTTGACAGTTCCTTCACTGAATGCTGTTTTTATTCCATAGTAGTGGAATGCACTCTACCTGGGGCTGCCTTTGAAGATGGCCTGGAAACTGCAGTTATTTCAAAGGATGGTGGCCAGGTTATTAACTGGAGCAAATAACAAGGAGCGGTCGGTCAACACCCCTGTTCAAACAGCTCCAATGGCTGCCGATAAGTTTCCAGTCTCAATTCAAGGTTCAGGTTATCACCTGTAAAGCCCTAAATGGTTCGGGACCTGCCTATCTTCACGACCACATCTTCCCTTATGAACGCGCGTGGTCTCTAAGATCGTCTGTGGAGGATCTTCTCTTGCTCCCACCTCCGTCACAAGCATGGTTGGTGGATCTTCTCGGTTGTAGTCCCTCGGCTCTGGAACTCTCTCCCCAGGGAGATTAGGCTGGCACCCACCCTGTTCCTCTTTCTGAAAAAGCTAAAAATGTGGATTTTTCATTGTGCTTTTTGATTAATTGATCCCCCATAAAATTTTGGCCCCCAGCTATGACCCAAAATCTAGTCCTTGCACTCTACTACTGTTCCCTACCCAGAGATATGTCATATTGCCCTCTATTCCTACTTTTGTCACCTGGCTTTTGCACTTTATCCATCAGCCCTGTCCTCATAACTGATTTACACCAGTTCGCCCGAGCCCAGAAACTGTTTACAATTTCAGGCTATTGGTTACTTGTTTGATGGTTGCTTTTATACTGTGTTATGTTGTTGTCTGTTTTTATATTGTTTTATGATTTTTAATTATTTTTAGTGTGTTATATTTTAACAACGTTGAACGGGATTGTCCCCATATAAGCCGCACCAAGTCCCTTCGGGGAGATGGACACAGGATAACAAAAAAATAAAGCTATTATTATTATGGACTTCACTGTCATACAGTTGAATAAGACCCTTCTGACCATATACATTTTTTAAAGAAGGAACCTCTCTGTCAAAAAAGAGATTGTTCAGTACCCAAACAAATGGTGGGATGTACTGAGTGAGGAACTCAGATTTTTTTAAAAAGAAAACTCATTTCTGTGGGTCTATTCAAATTGTCTCAAACGTTAGCCCTATTTCTGGGTATGTTTGACCTGCTGATTCCAAAAAAATGAGACCAGTTTTCCCCTATCAATTCTAGTTTTTGAGATACAGAACACAGATCAACTAACAGTTGCCATCTACGATAGAAAACCATGATAAACATATCTAAGAAACTAGAGTTGATGCAGTCTATCCAATGCAATTTTCTGAATCAGCACCTCAAATAGCCCCGGAAACAGGCCTAAAAACTAAGACACACACAAAAAATTGTTTTGGTTGGACTGTGTGTTGAGTTGTATAGAAATCACATTTCAGCAGGTGAATTTTGTGACAAGCAATATCTGCTAAAATTCCTGCTTCATCACAAACATTAAAGGGTTGGGAATCCTGTTCATTAGTTTCACTTGGGAACCATATAATAATAATAATAATAATAATAATAATAATAATAATAATAATAATGCCTGTAAAGTTCTTTGAACACCACAATGGCATATTGTTATCATGAATATTTTCACCATCCTAAAATGTATTGTCCATATACTCCCCTATAAAAAGCTATACAAAGGCTCTATTTGAACATTTGGTCATTAATCACCATACAGGGCATGTCTATGCCTCCAGTATTCAGATTTCTCACAGGATGTACTGTTTAATATTTACTTGATTAAGAAAGAAGGTACCTATGAATGTAAAAAAAAAATTAAGAGGAGGCCTTACATGCAAATTTATACAGAAAACACTAGCTGCCCTCAGGAAACTGCAGTGATTCAAAAGTCTCATATGCCTTTAAATAACATAGCTTTTCAAGATTGCTCTTTTTGATGAAGTACTGTAATTAGGAGCACATTTCTAAATTTCAGCTTATCTCAGTACATTTGTTTCTATAATTGTGATACAATGGGAAATTCAGTGCTCAATTGCCCCTGAAACTAGTTGTCTTCTCCCTTGGTAGCAGCCAAGTAATTCCTGGCCTTTTCTAGTGACATATAACATTTTAAACTCACATTTCCATATTAACCTTGTAATGCTTTTATACTTTTCAGGAAGAAGAGTCGTGTGGCATGCAAGGTTAATGAAGGGAAGCAGGAATGCCCAATATGTCCAAGAGCAAACTCAGAAGTGAAGGTGTAATGGAAGCAAACCCTCCATTCCACACTTCTTGCTTTTCTAGCCTCTGCGGCATTTGAACCCATAGGTCATGTACCTGCCAAAACTAATTAAAAGGTAAAAATTGGCTAGAATATACTGTATGGCCTTGACCCTGGAACAAGGTAGTTTACACATTTAGCCCCAATTTGCTTTTTTAATAAATTGCTAAGGCACTGGCAAAAGCACCTTTGAGTATACCTTGCCTAAGAAAACCTTATGGAATTAATGGGGTCACCATAAGTTGACAGGCAACTTGAAAGCGCGCACACACACACACACACACACACACATATATACACACAGTCTAAATATTCTGCTTCTGGGATGTCATGAATAATAATCAAGATTGCAAAAAAAAAAAAAAAAACCCAGCTCAGATGTACTATTTCACCTCAAGAAATGTATAACATCCAATGCTATTATGTTTAGTAACTTATTTTTATAATAATAACTAGCGTATATACCCAGCATTTAGTTTTCATGGAAAGAACTGTGGTGTTGGAGGAAAATTCTGAGAGTGCCTTAGACCGCAAGAAGATAAAAACAGTCCAAATAATGGCCAACTGCTCACTGGAGGGAAGTATATTAGAAGCAAAGATTAAGTACTTTGGCCACATAATAAGAAAACAGGAAAGCCTGGAGAAGATAATGAAGCTGGGGAAAATGGAAGGAAAAAGGAAGAGGGGCCGACCAAGGGCAAGACGAATGAATGTTATCCTTGAAGTGAATGGCTTGACCTTGAAGGAACTGGGGGTGGTGACGGCTAACTAGGCACTCTGGTGTGGGCCGGTCCATAAAGTCACAAAGAGTCGGAAATGACTGAATGAATAAACAACGTAATCGGCATTGCCTAGATGTTAGAAGGGGCCACTGCCTACCTGCATTCATCTATTTCCTTTCCCGCTTTTACTCCTTTTGTTCATTTCCCCCTTTCCTTTTCCTCTTTTTCCTTACCTTTTCTTCCTTTCTCTTCCCTTCTTTTCCCTTCCATTCCCTCCCCCCATTCCTTTTTCTTCTCCCTTCCCTTTCTTCCCTTTCTTTTTCTTTTTCTCTTTCTTTTTTCCCTTTCTTCCTCCTTCCCCAAATATACACATCACCTTTCTTTCCCAGTGACACCACAGAGGCCCACTTAACCTAAAAACAGCCTTTGTAGTACAAACAGACATACATTATTTGACTTTTATATACCGATGTATTATAACATCAAACATTTTATTGGTAGGTCACTTGGATGCCTCAGGTAAAAGTCTGAGAGGGCCCGAATTTTGAGCCTTGTGCAGTTGGGCCCACAGTCTACAATTCCCACTGAAATACTTAGCAAACTCTATTTGGCTTGAATTGGACTATCTTGTGTCCTGTAACTGCCAGTTCCAATCCCATGTACTTGCAAGAAAATACCATTGAAATAAATGGAGTCATAGTAGTTTTTATAAATGAAAACTGAAATATATGTAGCCAAGCAAAACTGTGGTATGCTCAAAATGGGAAGGGTTATGATTGAGGAGGAACACATAAGCTAGCAGGAGCATCTGTAGTTTCCTTCTGCCTAATCCTATAGGGAAGGGTTAACCCCCTACTACTTGCTGGTCATATGGTTCCCCTTTCAGACATCAGCAGGAGCTGAGATGGAGTTCTGTGGCAGCAAATATGGAGGAGGCAAGATGTGAATTGCTGTCTAGACCTCTGCTTCTTAAACTGTGGCTCTTGGTCCCAATTAGTGTCCCTTAGCTCAACATTGGAGTTTTGAACAATTTGGCAAAAGTAAAAGATTTCTTGCATTGTTGAAGACTTTCATGGCTGGAAGCTCTGCAGAAGATGCTTCAGCTGCACTTCATAAAATGGAAATTCAGTCTATTTAGGAATCCTTGCAAATACTGATTTATTATCAGTAAATGTTTAATTAGTATACCTATTTTATATACCTATATACCTTAGGTCATGCAAACATTTGTCAGTTGGAAAGGGGTTGTGAGTGGGAAAAGCTTAAGAGGCTCTGGTCTAGGCAATGCCTCTTGATTGAACACAAGCTTACATCTGCTAAAGTTACAGCATATTTGCACTGGCCTTAAACAAATGTTGTTTTTTTCTTTTTGGGGACAAAGTTTAGAATAAACATAGCAAAATATATCTGTCCCTATCAACAAGAAAATATTTCCCAACAAATGGAAAGGAATTAAAACCTGAAATGTCATTTTCAGAATGCTAATATTGGGGGAAATGGAAATAGGAAAACATAAAGAATTCAAAGCAAGAAAACATGTTAGAAGCATTATAACACGTGCGTTATTTTGAAAAGTCCCTAAACGTTTTTTTAGGAAAGAGCAATATTTTTACATGAGATATTTACTGACCTTTGACTAGAAACCTACGTGGTCCAGTTACAAAGGTAAATTTTCTTTTCAACAAGAAACAGTGTTTTCCCACAACCTTTGTAAGTTTCCAGTGTATATATGTCATTTTTATGTTATTCATGGCTTGCTGGTTCCCATAACTGTGGTGTGTAATTTAAACCTACATGTGACTGACTGACTTAATTCTTTCCCTCAGCCTCTTTCCTTACTTGTGCATTGCTG